ATAGTTTTATTTGCGTTAAAATTTTGGATTCTTATTTTTGCGCAAATAAAACTATTATAATTAATGTTGTTATTGATGAACCTAATAAATATAAGCCACAACCAACTTCACGTAATTTTTTATTCTTAAATGTTATCATAGTAAATATTCCATTAATTAAACCTATTAGAATAAATATAATATTTAATGCAATACTTGTTTTAATAATATTTGATTGATCTATTAAACGACTTGTTGGTTGAATATGATAACCTAAAATATTATCAAGGGATAAACTAAATCTACTTGCAGTAAATTGACATCGTCCTCCATAAGAACATGAAGGACAAAGACAGGTGGCTTTTTTCGTACATTTTGATCCAATTAGAAAGCATTGGCCATCATTTATACATTCATTTTCTCCTAAACAATCATATTTCATCGTATGATTAAATTGAAAACAATCACTTAAACGTTGTCCTTCATGATCATAACAAAAACATAAATAAATATCATCATGAAAACATGGAAAATTGAATGATAAAGTTTGACATGGTACATGATAATATTTTATACGTCGAAGAAGATGATAATCAACAATTGTTTTATTAAATAATTCATTAATATGTGGACAACGATCTGATAATTTAGCTTGTTTAGTTAAGTTTACTTTATGATATGCAGCATCTTGAGAATCAATAAAATAAATGTTTTGTTTCAGATCTTCTATTAAAATACGATTACTTGGATCAGACCAAGAAATAACGACTGATTCTTTCATAGAAGATATTTTTTTAAAAATAGTTGTTCTTTTTGATATATAAGTTGTTTCAATTTGAATGAAATGAATTAATATTGTTTCTAATGAATGAAAATTTTCTTCAAATGATAAATTAATTTTGTTTTCTTCTTGTTCACAATAATCACTACGAGGACCTTTCGAGCAAATACATGTATATGGTTGTAATGTTTGTCTATTTAAATCCGATGGAATACATTGATCACTATTATTACATCTTTTAATACCATTTAATTCACATATTGTATCTTTAAGAAAACATCGAGGACCAAATTTATACAATGGACAAACACATATAGATCGGCTATGAGCATCTATACCAATACATAATGAATCAGATGAACATGTACAATTAAGAGCATATGGAATAGTGCAAGATTGCCCAGACCAGTGCGGATAACATTGACAAAAACTTTTATCTTGTTGAGTATCGTGATATTTAATACATTTACCATGAATACATTCATATTTTGAACAATGTTCACCATTAAAATCAGCTGGTGGAATAACAATTTTTAAATCAAAACATATCAGCATGTATTGAGTAAGTTTTTGTTTGATTTTTTGGTCTTGTTGAATAAAGTAAATAATAATAAAATATAGTCTCACAATCTCTTGCAAATAAAGAAGTAAATTGTACATGTGAATGGATTATTCTTTCATTACTATCATCGGTAAGTTGAATAATAATTTCAAATAATATTTGTCGAGAATCTGAATATGCTTGAAATTTAATAGCTAAACTTCCGCGTTGATTTTGATATTCACATCGCGAACCATAATAACTGTACAGACAAAAACATATAAATGTTGATTCATCATTATTCAACCGAATACGCTAATATATGTAATGAAATATTTATTAACAAGTTTTTCTTACAAGTAACACTCGTCTAAAAACTCGCTTACCTCGTTCTCACATAATAGCAATGATGTGTCACAATGAAATTCATCTGTACCATCGTCACAATTCCAAAAACAATTATAACGAGTATGTAAATTAATACGTGGCCAATATTCACATTCAATTTCATTTTGTTCATTAATCAATTTTGGTAACAATTCTGGAAGTCTGTTACAAATAGATTGAAATAAAATATTATGTTTCTTTGGTTGAATAACAATAAACTACAGGATAATCTTTATCAGGTTTGAGAATAGATTCAGATGAATTCATACTTGAATATTGATTGTAATGTTTCAATTTATTATATATGAATCGACTTTAGCAGATAGTTCTGAACTATAAAAACGATAACATTTTCTGCCATTAAAAGGTAACATTTCACTATCAGTAAAATAATCATCATAAAGTGAATTATTATAACAAATATAAGGATGTAGAAATTCTTCATCAGCAAATTTTATCAAATCATTTTTTTCATAAGCAAAATAAATATCACCAAATAGAATTGGAATATTTGGTATGTTGAACATAGATGGACATTCACGGTTGATAATTGGAAAACATTCTTGATAGCTCTGACACAATCCATTACAAATTGAACCATCCTTATGTTGCACAAGGACACATTTGAATGCTGACGAACAGTTATACGGTATATGATCATCTTTAACAGAAAATATCGTTTCAAATAATCGTTCTTGACGTCCTGAAATACAAGAACTTGTTAGAGGATTTTCACGACATTTAGCATCTTCAATTAAGAGAGTTGGTAGATTCAGTTTCTCTCTATTAGCGGTAAGTTCCTCTTGTAAAGGTGGTTCATAGACTGCATTGTTTATTTCTACTTGTGAACAATGTTCTTCATCAAATGGACCATCAAGACAATTTAAGATTCCATCACAAATTTCGGCCCAATCCAAACAAGATGGAGATGGACCACGATCACATTGTAAATGAATATAGCATGTTAAATTATTCATAAACGGGTTTCGATTTTGATAATAATTTTTTACATACTTTTCAATATCGGTATAGATTTCACCATTATTTAATTCATATTGACACATTGGACCAAATCTTTTTTCTGTACAATTATAGAAAATTTCTTTTCCCATCATTTCATTAACTGATGTTGATAATTCTTTTAAGTATAATTGATAGAGTTCAATAAGATCAATTGGTGCAAACCAAGAATATAAATCTTCACTGCTGATCTTTTGTTTCGAAAGTTCAGCAAAAGTCAAATTTGAAATATAACCATTAGGTTGTATATTAAATTTTGATGATTGTTCATTTATACAATAAGAAATTAATTCTAATGTTGTGATAGGCTCTTCTTCAACCATAGGATAATTAAAACAATGATAATGTAATGCATTGTTATCATTATTCCTTATTTCATCTGTATAATACATATACAGATTAGGCAAGGCAATGGTTGAATGTAAAAGAATTAAACATATTAAATATATCAGAGAAAACATGACTCTAATAATAAAACGAAGACAATCATTTTCCTTTATATAGTTCGTTATTATATTATTGATGACGTTGATTTTTTATTAAAAAATATCAGCATATGTGTTTGCTTCTGCTTGAATATCAGTTATCTTTTAGTTGCTGACGCAAATTCTAATGTTTTCATTAGACTAAAAAAGACTCATACGCAATACGTTGACGCATTTCCTGACAAGCTTTTATATTTTTATTCATATTAACTTCGTAATTGATACATCTGTTTCAGAGTTTAGTAGAGAAAATTAACTGAAGAATATTTCAACATGTAAAAAACAAAGGTTTGAGCAACAAGTATTTATGAATATTGTGCCGCTGTGAGAGCAAACGGTCTGGCCTGATGACCGATAGGAAGTGCTCGATTACTCTAAAGCCTCTTCTCGCCTTGTATTCTACGAATGATGAATGATCTGAAATTGATATTATGTTTGTAAATATAAGCTTAGTTTTATATATATCATAGTAGAAGAAAGGAAGAGATATTGTTATTTCTTACTAAGATAAGTTTTAACACAAAATAGTAATGTAATTATAGTTTAAATAAAGATTTATTTTATCAAATTCTTCTCTTTGAAAAGGTAATTTCTATGTTATGAGAAAAAAATAATACTTTTATTTTTAGTTTGAGAGTTGTGCAATACTATTTTTGTAGAGTAGCAAAAAAGATGATTTCTAAAAAAATGAATATTTAATTATGAGAGACGAAGAAATGGCGGAGAAGATTTGGACAATAATGAAAATAACGCGTACCAATAAATATAACTTCAGTGTATACAATCAAGATTTAGACTGTATTTCATGAAGAATAAGTCATGACTTCTTGAATTATATCTTACTCTGACTTAATAAAAGTCAGTGGCAGAATCAGGATTTTGAGGTAGGGAGGCTCAGTTAATAGGTCCATTCTGATTCATCTAGCAAGTATAATCATTTTGCCCAACCAGTATAAATTAAGAATCCTTTCAAAATTTGCTAGGAGGGATTGAGTCCTCATCTCTGGCTTCACCACTGATAACAATATCAACTAAATATCCTAAGAATATATTAGAGAGAGAGAGAGAAAATGGGTGTTAGATGATGACATGACGTCAAAATCATTTATATCTTCTTGTTTTTTACATTTACATATGTATTTCGATGTACATATGTTCAAATGTTTTTTCCATCTCTTTCTACGTCATATATAAATGCACTATTTGTGAATAATAATAAATCGCATTATGTAAAAACACATATTTGAGATAAAGTCTGCTTCTGTTCCTATTAATCAAATGCTTAAACATGTTGAGGATGTGAGTGTGAGCAAAAACTCACTTTTTGCTTATTTCAACTTCACTTTAGTATTTCTTACTGACTACATGTTTCGACAGAAGTTGCTTGTTCGATAAAATCTTTTTGCATAGATTAACAAAAGTTAAGCATTTCGAAAACAAATCAAATCTTGTATTATATTAGATAAACTCAATACAAACTGTTCATTTCTAGTTCTTATTTTTTTGTTAGTATTATTTCGAGATTTGTGATTTTATAAAAGCATTTGTAAAGTAAAAATGCTCTATCAATGAATATTCTCAAATATAAAGAATCAAAAGTATTAAGCATATTGCATTAAAGATCCAATTACTGCCTTTGTCGATCATGATTTATGAAAGAAAAATAAATATTTTAAAGAGAAAATTTTGTGATTTATATTCAAAACTTAAAATATTTGAATAGATTCTTTCAGTTTATTTCTCAATTGTTAAAAGTAGATGTGGACGTGCATCTTCAGTCAAGCCACTTCCACACCCAAATTTGTCTTCCATTATCCGATAGTCTATGCGAACGATGAAAAATGTTCTGTTTGATCGACATTTCTTGATTAATTATCAAATCGAAGCGAATATTATATCAATAAACTAAAAGTTCTGAAATAATGAAGAAAGATTGATTATTGATGCATTCGTCGCCACCATCGTCTAAATGCTTCTTGAAATGTTTTTCTATATAGGTCTGAAGGCAGGACAAAGACTACAAAGATAAGCATCGATGGAGTAAATGAAATGAAATAACCAAAAAGAAATAACCAACGATTGTTTGATGGATTGACACATTCAGATAACATTGACATAATCAGGCGAGGCAAAGACAGAATTAGAAGAACGGTCGGACTAATTAATAATTGTTTGTGTTCACTAAGTTGATTATAAATATGTTCTTTTAGATTTAACCTTTTCTGAGCTGTTGATCGTTGTTGGGCTGATCCAAATATGATGAATAAAGCAGAACAAAGATTGACAATACATGGAGCGACAAGATGAAAAAACAGGATGATTGTATTGTATTTCTGAATAGAAGGAGAATAACGAGTTAAACACCATCTATCGATATCCACTTTGTTCGTCTCTGTATTTACTTCATGTAATTCTCGATATATAGGTTCGTGAATGATTGAACTCATGACACAGAATGGTAAGATAAGAATTATCCATCGAGCAATGCGTTGACTTTTTTGTTTATTGAATTTGATTCCTTTGAAAACGAGAATGGCTCTTTCAATAGCTACACAAGCATTGAGCCAAGCATCCAGATATAGACAAAGCTTGAGAAGAGGTTCGATCGATACACAACCTCCTTGAACAACAGAAAGACGAATCGATAGATTCATTTGAGTGAGAACAACAAACCAAAACTTTACTGTAAACATGCTAATTGTAAGAAAAGAAGTAATGGATGATGCCAACAGATAGATGCCACATCCAGCTTTTCGTAGCTCTTTATCTTGAAATGTTAGTAAAGACAAAATACTATTGATTAAACCTCCAACAAACATAATCGTCGTTAAAGCGATGCTGATTTTTATCAGCACTGTTTGATCAGTCAATACCATGTTCGATCGAATTTCGTCACGCAAAATATCATCGAGAGTGACGCCAATATTTTTTTTGTAGAACTGACATTTTTGGCCAATGAAACAACTAGCCAGAATTTGGGCTAAAGAAAGTCATGATTAGCAAGAGATAAGATTAATCTTTCTCAACTTAACAAAGTGTTGTTGGGGCAAGTTTATAAATAACAATAGTGTATGAAAGTCATTTGTCTATACATGGTATGTCTTGTCGAGATTAGATTTATATATTTATATTTTCTGTTTAATATCTCATGATGAATTTACTCATTTTTGTAAAGATGTTTCTGCATATGAACTCGGTAAATTTTCAAAGACTGCAAGTTAATAAAATCGGAGATAGTGTGAAATCACTAACGAATAGATCTTGTCGAATATATCGTGGATTCGAGAACAAGCGTTGCATTTATTTATCTAACTGATTAGACTCGTACAATCCATCTAATCGCGACTAAGCTACAATACTAAGACTTAATCTTATCTGATTGGAAGATAATTACCCCGTTTCAAAAGAAGGAGTTCTGATTTGATTCTATTTTTTGACAATAATTCTATTGAATTATACGATCTATTTCAAAATCTGAGATTTTTTATTACTTAACAGTGAAAATGGAGTTTAGTGGGATGTTGTAGTTCTCTGTTGATGATTTACAAATCATATAAAATACTTACGGTAAAGATCAAGAGTGATATCATTTGGGCCTGATGCCACAATGGAAAAGTTTCCTATCTTATTTGGAAAAGATGTTGTGACCACTAATATGTATGTAGTGCCAATGTGAAGATAAGCGACAAAATTGAAACCGTAATAAGTGCATCTTCGATAAACCTGTGAGAGTAGATTCTCAAAAGGATTCATTGGATCAAAATAAGTTTTGTAAATATCACCAAATGCATCCATAATGGTATCACTAATCAGAGCATAGTATCCAGTTTCCGCTACATTCACTCGTATAGTTTGATAGTGATAATTTAACTTTCGGCAATCTCGAGAATATGTTTGACTACTTGTATTCAGCTCTGATGAATAGTTCGATTGTACAGCTGATGAATATTCTTTTTCGATGACTGATGGAGAACCTATGTGATGAAAATAAAAATAACAGTCGAGATTCGCGATAGATTTTGATTGATTGAGAAAAAGACGAATTGTCGGGATATGAGAAAGAAAATTTAGCATCATAAGTTATTTCTCAAATACCTTGCGTATCGAAGGACATGTCAAATTGAGGTAACAAGTTTAAAGAGAAGGTTCTTTATAATATCGTTCTCAATGAAAAAATTAAGCTGTAAATGGCGAGTAAAAATAGAATTTATAAATATCTTTCTGTGCTCGAACCCTCGATAATATGCAGTGGATGATTTTTAAATAATTATTTTATTCTAACATCTGATAAGGTTTCAACGTCCCAGATAAGAAAAATGATTTATTTATAGTCTAATTCTGCTACTCTTGTAATTTATTCAAAAATTGAAGTACGTAAAGATATCGTTTAGATTCATATAAAGTAAGAATATGTTTATATTTTTTTATTTATGATACATTATATTTAAATGTTTGTAGCATTTTTGTATTATAGGAACATTGAGTGGTAAGACATGTTGTAACAAAAATTAAAGTTTTTTCATTTTATCGTCACAAATAGGGATTCATGTTGATTTGTATATTATACACATTAGATTAGCGATCGATTGAAACGTGTCTGTATTCAAGGAGATTGATCTGATCCTACTCACAATATTTCATTATTTGATGAATTTAATGTAGATTTTTATGTAAAGTTTTCTTCTTATTATGCAAATATCATCTTATAAAACAAGTCTTTATTTGTGGATATGCCAAACTCAACTAAATACTCATGCTAATGTTGACAGATATTCATTTAATAGTTGTAGTGTAAATACTTACTAATATTCTTGAAATCAACATAATTTGGACCGGATATAAAGACCGAGAATGCCCCTGTTATATTAGGACTGGATGTCGTTACAACCAATATATATGTAATACTGGTTTCAAGAGCAATTGTGAATTTAAACTGACCTTGCTTGCAGCTATTCTCAGCATATGCGAATTGATTTTCTGTTGGATTGGATGGATTGAAATTATCTTCGTAAATAGACCCGTATGTGTCCATATTGCTTTTGTCGATGAACGTGTAAAGTCCATTTATACGAACATTCACTTGTACCGCTTCATAGTAAGAACTTTCTGAATCAAAATACCAACGGAAATACGTTGAACTATTCGTTGTCAATTTTGATGCATAAACTGTTTGAACTACTGATGAAGTATTCGCTAACGAAAAAAAAATCGATTCAGTTTTGTATAATATGGAAATAAATGCAAACAATTTGAAATATTGCTTTCTCTCTCAAATACATTTACCGAAAGCTACTGAAAGTGATATGAATGTTTGTCTCTATTGAACAGAAATATCTGTATATCATTTTGTAGACTGAGTTTATCTATATTTTCTACCTATGATGGATATATGCAATTGATCATTCATTAAAATACTATAGATACTCACAAATACGATTGAAACCGATATGGCTTGGGCCAGAAACTTGAATTGCAAAATTTCCTGTTATATTTGGAGAAGATGTTGTCATAACGAAAATGTATTTCATATTAGCTTGAAGAATAGGTGTGAGTTGAAACTGACCCTGGTTACCACTGTATCCATTATAAGTAAGCCTATTTTCTGACCAATTAAATACATTAAAACTATTTGTATAGATGTAACCATATGTGGTTTTCATCTCGCTGTTGATTAGAATAGTATAATCTCCAGTTACATTGACATTCATTTGTATCGCTTCATAATACGAATTGAACTCTGAACAATCTTTGAAATAAATTGAACTATTTGGTGTCAACGATGATAAATACATTGATTTTATTGGTGATGAGTTATCTATTGAATAGAAAACTCAATGAGTATTTGCATTTAGAATAAAGAAAAGAAATAATTGCGCATATTCTTAGTTTGCTTTTCAATCTGTTTACTAATGAGAGTTGAATCATTTGTTTTAGAGAAATGCTTTTAATACAGAAATAAAGAAAAACATCAAATAAAATACCTATTTAGCGTTCTTCCAATAAGTATCGATATTAGCTCTTAAAATCCGCATGTTCTTTCCAGGAGATATTATAATAATTACAATAAACAAATATTATAAAACCTCGTATACAAAAACGAGTATTATTCCGGACTAAGAAAGTCTGGTAAGTCATAGACTTGGAAATTTATGACTTCTTCATTATCATCTTTATCTTCGAATTTTTCTTGTTATATAAATATAATCCAGGACATTAGTTTTTTTTTATCAATATCACTAAGTATAATAATAAAATAAACTATTTGATGAAACTATTTCATAAAATTCTAGTCAATCTACGAGTATGGCATGACATCATCAAAAAAATGTCGGTTGGAAGTAAGTTTTGATCCATTGTTAAAATATTACAAGAGCGACTCTTCAATTATTTTTTATTCTAATAACGCATGTCTTGAATAAATAGCTTAGGATGGAACTTTTCCCTTCTTCTCGTTATTGGCATTTTTCGATAAAGACACTGACCTACATTTAAATGTCACTCCTTTGTGATGATCCCGACTCTATTCTCGTTCATTAAACAAAATCATGATCGCAAATATTACATAATCGTTCTCTCATCTCGAGAGTAAAGGTGAAATTCTGACTCTATATGATTGCACCACGAGTTGTAGTGAATACTCGAGCATAGGGTCACTCCTCTCTCTCATGACAGATGTTTTATATCTACGACTTTAAAATTACATTGAACAACTATGTGAAACGACTTTTGTTGATTTCAAAGCAATTTGTAAAACTTTTTTTATTATCAAATATGGATTTCGGTTCAAAAAGTTTTTCTTCACGTCAATATTTACTTTCGAAGTGTTTTTAGTTCGATAAAGATTTAATGAATTGGGATGAAAACGTTACTCCTCATGAGTGTCTTTCGTTTCATAAAATCATTGTGTTCATTATTTTCTACAGTCAGCAGCGATAAGTGAGCGCAGATAATGGTGAATCAAAGAAAATTGATAAAGAAAGTTCAACAAAAAGGGCTAAAGTTATCTCTGACTTTCCTACTAAATACATAGACATTCTAACTTCCATCTGTATCACGCAACTAACACGACAATAATGTTATCGATTGACTATTGTAGAGAATTATGAATAAGCAAGGTTTTTATTTTATAAGAATAGTATATTAGGATTAGGATGAAACTTGAAATTTGTATTTCACTATTTAACAATACAGTTCGAAAACCATCACGAGTTTCATTTTCATTGTCATCGTCTACGATAGTTTTTCTTTTTAATTTTCTCTGAGTAAATATTGATAAAAATGATACTGAAGATTTTATTCGGTCATTTCAAACTTACCACATGATTTTTTGAAATATTGAAACTTCTGAATTCGATGATTTGATTGATCAGTAACAAACATGTTTCCAGAATGATCGAAACTCAAACTAATTGGACTAGACAGTTGATTGGATTTCGAACCCTCTCCATCACATCCAACTAAACATCCAAAACCACTCAAGCCTGAACCAACAATACGACTATCGCCTTGATCCACAATAAATAAATATTTCTCAGCATCTAATAGAATTCCACTTGGACAACGAAGTTCAATTGTTGGATTTAGTGATTTACTTCCAGCCACTGTGATGCCATTTAATTCTCCTGACTGAAATAATTGAACTCGATGATTTTGACAATCTGCCACATATAAATCCAAATTCACATCAACAAAGATTCCACGAGGACTATCGAGTTGATTCGAGGCTGATCCTTCAATACCTATTCCAGCTGCAGTACAACTTGAATTCATCACAACGTCATTTAATGTTCTTTTCACTACTTGATGATGCTTAGTCATTGAACAGTAAAGAGTATCATTGATATCGACAAACAAACCATAGCATGATGAGTTGACATTCATCACCGTGACAAAGATATTTTTTTCTGCTATCCATTTCTGCACTCGATCATTCTCAAAGCCATCATCAATATAAATATCGCCATTTAATGTCACGAAGAGAGAATTAAGTTGTGTAAAATTACCGTGAATGATCCTTGTTGGATTGACACTCTCTTCTTGTCGTATTAGAATTGCGCTATTTTCTCGATTAGCGACATATATTGTGTTGTTTCTACTCACAAAAATGGTGGTAGGATCTTGACCAATAATCGACCGATTAGCAATGGTAGTTCCATTGGAATTCCAAGTGGCTATTGGACAAAACGTTGGTTGATTGAATGAAAGAGCTACACACAAGAAAAACATAAAGAATATTAGAGAAGAACTGTAAATAAAATGAAATCATTAATTTATATATTCGTAGAAGAAAGATTAAGTTTCTTCAAAAAACATTTTTACTGAAAAAGACATTTACAAATTTTTGTTAACATTGATTTTAGGAATTCTTTATATTAGTTTTCATATGAAACATGAACTGTGATATTCTTAAAATATTTTTGTTTACGACGTCGATGTTAATTATTTTAGATAAAAAATTCTCTGACTAACTTTTGTTAAAAAATCTTGTGGAAGATCTGAAGAAATTGTATTAAAGAAAATAGTTGAATAAAAGAAGTTCGTTATTTAAGAAAAAATAATCAAGAGAAAAGAAGAAATTTTTATCGATCAAATTTCTTTCTTTGCAACTTTGAACGTTTCATTCGCGTTTCTGAAGTGCATTTTAATTATCAAGCTGGTTTGTTTTTTGAATAATTCTGCAGATATGTCATTGATGTTCATTATTTGAATTATTTATTCAAAGTTTCTTAAACTTTTTCTAATAAATATTTAAAGCTAGTTTAGAGAAGAAATCAAAGAAAAACGATAAATGTCTCTACTATCTCAATTGTCTACATTATTGAGAATATAACTCGGTTTATCTTAGTAAATTTCATTAAGAAATAAAAAATAACGCCCCTACATGTCATATCGGTACTGAATGAAGAAAGAAAGAAAAAATACGATTTTTTATATTCCTCAAAAATTCTTATTTTCTCTCTATAGACGTTCTCGATCGAAGATTCTTTATCTAACGAAATATCAAAGATTCATGAAAAATCACAATATTTCGATAAAAACTGTTTTATTGATAAAATATTTTGTGAGACATGAAATGAAACATGAAAGCCCTTTCTATCGCTACATGAAGGACACAACTTTTTCTTTCTCTAATTTTCAAGGGCCCCTCTCCCCCCCCCCCCCCCCCGGATCAAAAATCTATTTTTTTTCCAGAACACTCAATCTTACTGAAGTTTTTACTGAATATATATCTAACCATGGATAGTTTTCAGTAAAGAATTGAGCTCGTAATATTTAGTTTTGCGAGAGTTATCTTAACATTAAGGGCTAAAAGTAGGTGGTCGTGTATCAAAGATTTTTTTCGCAATTTTAATAATATGCACCTCAGGATGGTGTCAAAATGTACAAAACACTTGCCACGACAACCTAGCAGAGCCAGTTTTTTGAAAAAGGTTTTTGAAAAAATTCGAAGTTAACTTTTTAGAAAACTGGATTTTTTCATAAACAACCAAATTAAAAATAAAAATTCTGGCTCTGTTAGGTTGTAGCGCTGAGATTTAGCTTCATTTAAAAACCTTCCCGAGCGTTCTGGCGCTTAAAATGAGGGAGAAATCTTTGCCACACTAATAGGAAAAACATTAAAAACAGTTTTGAGAAAAACGAAAAACAAGTTTTCACTTTGATTATCGAAGTTTTTATTCTTAAAAAGTCGGTATAGAGAAAAATTCAAATAGCTTCAATAACTGAACTTTTCTAAAAATAAATTTTCATGTAGGTTTTTCAGAAAACTCCCTGTAAAACCCTCAAAAACCATCGCAAAACTAATAAACTATAGTCTATTCGAAAGTGTAGATGATGGACTACTTAAATATGGATGAATTTCAAAGTCGGTATTTTTGAAGAAAAAAAAAAGTTTTTGACCCGAAGGGCCCTTAATCTGAACAAAAAGACGAAGATTGTTTGTCTTATGAGGCGATTGATACATGGCTCTGTCTAATCTGAGCATTTCATTTCCATAGACACATTCTTTTACACATTGGTTTAATTAATCTTTCTTAAACATTTTTATTTTCTTTGGTTTTTTATATTGAAATGTCTTTATTAACTTCTGTTACTTATTTATTCACATCTCTTCATTTCATTCAACTTACCAAAAGAATCTTTCATCAATAAAAACTTTTGAATTCGATGATTTATTGTATCAGCAACAAACATGTTTCCAGAGCGATCGAAAGTAAAATCAGATGCATAATTCAATTGATTGGATTGTGAACCCTTTCCATAACATCCAACTAAACATCGAAAACCATTCAAGTCTGAACCAACAATGCGATCATCACTACTATCCATAATGAATAAATATTTCTCAGCATCTAATATAATTCTACTTGGACAACGAAGTTCAATTGTTGGATTTAGTGATTTACTTCCAGCCACTGTAATCCCGATGGATTCTTCCGACTGGAACAACTGAACACGGTGATTTAAACAATCTGCCACATATAAACTCAAAGTCACATCGATAAAGATTCCAAAAGGACCCCAGAGTTGATTTGAGGCCGATCCTTTAATACCTGTTCCGGCAGCAACACGATTTGAACTTATTACAGCATCGTTTAATGATCTTTTCACTACTTGATCATCATTAAACATTGAACAATAAAGAGTATCATTGATATCGACAAACAAACTTTTACATGATGAGTTAACATTCATCACCGTGACAAAGGTGTTTGTTTCTGCTATCCATTTCTGCACTTGACCATTCTTATATCCATCGTCAATATAAATATCACCATTTGATGTCACAAAGAAAGAATAGGAAATTGTAAAATTACCGTGAATGATCTTTGCTGGGTTGACACTCTCTTCTTGCCACATTACAATTGTCTTATCTCTTTCATTAAAGGCATAGATTGTGTTGTTTATGTTTACAAAAATGGCGGCAGGATATTGACCAACAATCGATTGGTTAGCAATGGTAATTCCATTGGAATTCCAAATGGGTGTTGAAGAAAACTTTGGTTGATTAACTGAAAGAGCTAAAATGGGAAAAATAGAAAGAATATTAGAGAAGAACTGTAAACAAAACGAAATCATTAGTTTATATCTTTTTCGAAAAATTCATCAAAATTAATTTTGAAAACATTTTTATGATTGTTGTTCTATTTTCTCAGATTATTTGTAAATATCAACTAAGAGAGGGCTGAATTCGTTGAAGAATATCAACTTTATCTATTGATTCTTTTGTTGTAAAAGAAAAATAATTACGTACGATCTTTGAAAAGATACGATTATCATTGAAGACAAAATAATCAAATAAGTGTTTTTTATTTGTTCAACGAAAATGAATGCAAAGAAGGAAAAAAGCATTGTTTAAAATGAAAATGACTTTATGAAAACTGATTGAGGTCTAAACAAAATGCCTTTGGAGTTCAAAATCAATTCTCATTTTCATATAGAAAATATTGTGATTTTATTGATGTTAAATAATTTTAATTCAATCTAATATGTGAAAGAGAGAAGAAAATTTTCTTGTTGATCTTCAATTAAATAGCCATTCAAAGAAATTATTTAAGAAAAATATTTTGAGAAAACAATTTGAATAATCATCGATTCCTTCTAAAGATGAGAAAAACTTATATATATTTGACCATTGATTCAAATATTATCTTACTTAACAATATTTTTTTATGATAGTCTAGTGATAAAAATAAGTGTGGGTCATGAATTTGCACTTGCAAAGCAGTTCTACATTATCATATAGTTTATGCTCTCTTTTTCTAGCAGATGTATTCATTTCTACAGCTTAAAAGTTAATATTTTCTTACAAGTAATTCTGTCTTGAAAGTGTCTATGAAGAATATTTATCATTTCATTGATCAATCAAAATCATTTCTACAAGATAATTTCATATATTCCAAAAAAAGATTCTTTCCTTTTGTACAGTTCGAAAGTTTTAAATATTTTTCATTTTATATAAGAGTAAATAATCTATATATATAAAGAAGAATGTTTGTCTCTCTGTTCACTATGCATTTAGTCCCTGTGATAGCTACGATTACCAAACTTTCCACGATGCTTCCTTAGATCCCGGCGAAGATCGACGAAGGATTAGCACCATCATCGGGAGGGGGGGGCTGAAACGTCACTCAGGTAGTCCTATGATAGCTAACATAACCAAAGTTTTTACGATGTTTCCTTAGGTCCCAGGAAAAGTTGATAGGGGATTAGCATGGTTATTCGGGGGTGGTGATGAGGGGGAGAGGCGTGAATTGAATGCAATATCACCCAGTTTATGAAAATCGAAAATTTTGTGCCGTATTCTAAGGAAAAGAATGTGTATATGAGTGTTTTTCCTAACTCTTGAGTGCAAGTGAAGATGAAGATGAGGGCCCGGGTGAGTGGGTGAGGAAGAGAGGGAGTGGATGAGGGCGGGGGAGCGGGTAAGGGAAAGAGTGGTTGAGGATCAGGGCATGGCTGAGTGGGTGAGGGAAAGAGTGGATGAGGATGAGGGAGTAGGATGAGGATGAGGGAGTAGGATGAGGATAAGGGAGTGGATGAGGATAAGGGACTGCACGAGTGGGTGGATAGATAGATGAGAATGAGAGCGTGAACGGGTGAATGTGGTGTCGGTATGAGTGGTTGAGTGTGTTGGTGAAAATCAGTTGTACCCATACTTCAAACCCTCACTCACACCCGTTTTCTCATCTGCCAAATATGTACTATCAAATTTTTCATACCAACAGCGGGTACTCCGGCTAATATGTGATAAATAAAAGGGTTTACCTGATGTTTCATTGTTGACAATGAACAGAAAAATTATGATAAATACGTTCATATTCCACACCATTCAGCAAGATTTTTTGATAAATTAGTTAACTAATAAAATAATCTTCTTCTTCTTCTACTTTGTCTTCGATGAAAACAAAATGACACTCGTTGTAGATTCTCTCTCTAGTTATATATCTCCCTCTCTTTTTCTCTCATTTATTTATTTCAACACAACACAAAGAGAAAAAATAGTGCCCTGGAGAACGTGTCGTTCGTCGTAGATAAGATAGAAAAGTTTTCTTTTTTTAATTTTATAGAAAAATCTATGATTTTGGTGAAGAAGAATGTGATGAAGAGAAAGAGGAATTGATCAATATCGATGTCAATCATCAGGTGTATTTTTAATGAAAATATGATATTAAAAATCATCGTCAATAAATAAATCATGATTATTTTGATATGTTTTCATTTGAACTTGTCAAATGATCTGCTTTGTCAGGACTCACTTTTAATCACGTTCTTTGTTTCTCTATACACAGTAAGTATTTTTGTGAAAAGTTTCATTCTTTCAGTATTTCGATCTGTTTTCGAATAAAAAGCCACCATATATATATATGTATAAAGCGGAATTGTTCATCGTGATACAATGGATTTTTCTGGAGAACGGCAAAATATGCTTAAAGTCAATTCTAAATTCAATATAGACAAGATCACCACTCTGAAAATAGACAGATCTTGTCAATTAGTAGCGATAGTTCTATTCAAACATAATCAAAATCGTGAAACTCAGATGAACCATCTAATATTCCTTGCAATCTAGCGGCGGCGAGTTGTCAATCACGATATATCTCTGATTTAAATTGATTTTGCTACTAGAGATCAAAAACGAGTCAGGGGTATAGGTGTGGGTGTTTTGTTATTCCCTTACCCATACTGACACCCACACCTATCCTCTCTCATTTATTTCTTTCAACGTAGCACACAAAGAGAAAAAATATAGTGTTCTAGAGAAGGTTTTGCTATAGGTAAGATAAAAAATTGATTTTAGATTGGATTAATGAATAAAACTCATGATTTTATTTGATATTGCCCATTAAATTCCATTCTTTTCCAAATTCTAAAACACAGAATGGAATTTCAGTTCGACATGACCGTTTTCTTTTTTTGATTTTATAGAAGATCAGGAGATTTTAGTGAAAAAGAACGCGATGAAGAGAAAGAGGAATTGATCAATATCGATGTCAATCATCCGGCGTGTTTTTAATGAAAATACGATATTAAAAAACATCGTCAATAAATGATAGACATCAATGAATAAGTCATGAATACTTTGATATTATTTTGTTTGGCTCTGTTAAATAATCTGCTTTGTCAGGACTCATTTTTAATCACGTTCTTTATTTCTCTACGCAATAAGTATCTATGAGAAAAGATTTCTTCTTTGAGTATTTCGATCTATTTTCGAATAAAAACTCATCAGATATATAAAAAGAGTGTGGGTGTGGATGAAAGATGACCACCGTTTCCACATCTTTGCTCATGTGTACATACTCACACCCTTCATTAAATACAAAACATTGTTAACTGATTGAAAAAATATTTATCCTATAAAATACTTGAAAATCAGCAAAGTTTGATTTTTCAAACAATTTATTACTATGTTAAGATGTTTTATCACAAAAGTCAAAATACATAACAATTACTGGCATACACACACAAAATATAG